CGGGCAAGGCCAGGCGGGGCCGCCTTTAGGCCTGCCCAAGCGCGTGCGGCTGCAACTGTTAGTTGATACAGCAGACAGGTGAGTGGATTTATGGCCCGTCCACGAGCGCTGGGAAGAGTATGCTGCATAATGGGGACTGTTGCCCAGTATTAAAACAACTAACATTTCTTTAATTTTTTGAACTTTTTTTTACATTAGTCTAGGCTGGTAAAATGAGATGATAGCGTTATTTGTTTTGTTTTTTTTGGATGTGTGTTTTTTCATACGGAGCTCGACCGGATGGCGCACGCTTGCTTCTGCGTGCGGGTGGGATACCTGCTAATAGCTGTTTATTTTGGTGTTATAGTTCTGCTTTCGCAGAGAAGATAGCTAGGTATACATGGCTGCCTGTGGCAAATGGGCTCTGTCGCACGCTGCGTGAAAAATAGTGGTTGGAGTGTCAGATCTTGTCTTGCTGTTTAATAGGAAAGGGTTTTTTGGCAAAACATGAATATTCCTGCTGGCTCTTCACTTCACATGTTTCATTTGTTTCTCTGTAGTACTTAATTCATAATTGAACACGCGTAAAAATCATAACATTATTAAACACAACATAATATGTTAAAAGTACTTTTCTGTTTGTTTTCAAGCAACATATAAAAAAAGCAAACAAAAAAACACTTATTTCTCTAAGACTGGTGAATTATCGGGTGCATGCATTAAGGCCAACTATGAAGCCAACGCCGACATTGCTAAGTGTGTGTTTGTGGGGCATTATCTTTGTGCTGCGAGCACCTCTTAGAGCACCGGATGAGACAACCGTATCAGTTATGGAGCGCTTTGGGGATGTTGCATGCATGCGGCTTGTTTTAAGCTTCAGTTGGAGAAAACACTGTTGCCTGGATCATTTTAAAAATTGTTCACAATGGTTAAATAAATACGTTTCTTAAAGTTCAGGAAAAACGTAACCTTAATTGTTTAAAACGAATATTAGAAAACGTATGCGCCACTCCGCGCAAAAGGTCGTAACCTCTTTCAAAGGACAATCTTCTTCTACTGGGGCTGTACAACTCGTTGGTTTCTATTGTTGTGGTTCTACACGAGAGGGTCATGAGCCCCACATCAACACCTCATGATACCAACAATGTATCAAAGTAGAGCACGTTTTAATAACGTCTGCGTTGGGGTTCTTTAATGCGTACGCGCGGGTGGTGGATGTGGATAGAATGCCACAAACACCATACATGCTACACAAAACGAATGCGGAGAGACACAACTTTTAGCGAAATGAAATGAATCTCTGTCAATAACCTCTTTTCTCTTCCGGGCGAGCAGCCATTTATTCGCACGCCTCAGTGGACATCTCTCCGCCCTCTCGTTTATTAAATAAATGCTCAATTAAATTTCATTGCTCGTATAATTTTGGGAGGGCCCTGGCCCCTCGCCTGAGTCAGTGGTTTGGTTCCGGCCGTGAGATGGTCCGTATCCCCAACACTTTTCTCGTTTCTTTACCACATATTTCCTAAAACAAACACAATTCTGCCGCTGTTGTACAATTTTATTCATTTTCTTCTCGTCCGTAAATGTCTTTACATCATCTGCGATTTTCCTTAATTGTTATTTCATAACAAATCAGTCAGGGTGTTCCACCGAACCCGTCTATTTTGTAGTTCTACTGAACCGCGTGCACGTGTGTGGGCGGGTTGCACAGTCAAACCGCTTACCTGACTTTCAGGTATCATTTTTTTTTTTTTTAGATTCAGGTACACTTTACTTGAATACGAATATTTTTTGGTAAGGTATCTTTAACAGATTTTCCCCATATCATGTAGGTAACTTAACTGAAGAGGTTCAAACGAGGCCCCGCGAGTAGCAGGAGCCAGAGGCTTCCTCCGATCGGGACAGTTTTTCTTTGTGAAAATAGGGTAAAAATTTGCCAAAGCCGAAAGCAGCGATGTCTGGCTACATCTCCTCTGCAGCCCGCCCAATGGACATGTCATAGTTTTACGGCGGGGCGGCCGGCATTCTGATAAGCGGAGGGCCGTAAACCGAAATGAATTCAAACAATAAAGGAGGCCGTGCACCGAGTCCATAAAACGCAACAAGAAACCAAAATTAAGACATAAAAACGACCGTCTTGTTCGTCCGGTGGAGAAGAGCTGCGCCGGGCAGCAGCAGGCGGGCCGAGTATATTCGCGGGGCCAGGCCAGGTCCACACTCCTAGCCTCGAAGGGCGGCTACACTCGCAGAAATGGAGAAATTGGGCCACGCCCAACGAATAGTAATTATATTTTCTACTATTATCATTATAGTTATTGAAACAAAATCTACGGCGAGAATCTGATACCATCGCATAACGGCGCCAGCCCATGCCGCTGGTAAACCCTTTCCTGATGAAGCTTATGATCGCGTACTGAGAGAGAGAGAGAGAGAGAGAGAGAGAGAGAGAGAGAGAGAGAGAGGACACCCTACCCGCCGGCAACACGAGGGGCCCTTCGTTAGTTGTTCATTTCCAGCTCGGCGACCTGACCTGCTGTCCCGCCCTCTTCCCCTGCTGCGCCGCAGGGGTGGTTGGCACACCTGGGCTGCTGCTGGGCGCTCGCAGGTGGACCAACCCTCTCCCCGCCGGAGATTATCGTGCGTCGCTCACGGGGGGCCCGGCCGGAGGGCCACCGTGCCGACCCATGGATCATCCGCCACGCTGGGCATCACAGCGCTGCCGGCCCGACACCCCCCGCCCCCTCCCGCGCCCCCGCCGCCCGGAGTGCGTGCGAGCAGCGGGCGAGCGGGGCGCGGGCATGCCGGCCAGCCATTTGTTTGCGCCGGAAACGAAAACGATTTAATTGCCTGATGCGACCACACGTCCGCCGACACGCGCATAGCAAATATTATTAGGAGGCTCGCGCTAACAAGGTGTCGCTAGGCGCGATAAAGGAACTCTGACTGCTGTGTTGGCAGCGCTGATAAGCCGCCCGCTGGTGGCAACTGCATTCGTGTCCCGCCTCTCTCTCGCGGATCTCTCTCTCTGCCGCCTTCCTCTCCCCTCCCTCCCTCCCTCCCTCCCTCC